AGCAAAAAGAAAAAAGCCAGAAGTGGCACTGTGGCTCAAGTGGTAGAGCGCTAGCCTTGAGCTGAAGAGCAGAGGGACAGCGCCCAGGCCCAGAGTTCAGGCCCCACGACCAGACCCCAAAAAAAAAAAAAGAGTTACAGATCCTGCCCTGTACCGGTGGCTCACGCCTATAATTCTAGCTACTGAGGAGGCTGAGATCTGAGGATCGCGGTTCAAAGCCAGCCTGGTCAGGAAAGTCTGTGAAACTCTTACCTCCAATAAACCACCAGAAAAAAACGGAAGTGGCACCGTAGCTCAAGTAGTAGAGCACTCGCCTTGAGCTGAAGAGCTGAGGGACAGTGCTCAAGCCCAGAGTTCAAGCCCCATGACCGGAAAAAAAAAAAAAAGAGTTACAGATCCCTAGAATTATGACTCTGATTCTTTCCTCCACCCTCCTCCAAAGTGTTGAAATTATATAAATTACTTTTTAAAAAGTTTTAACACAAATGGAGAAGTTATCCATTTCTGTTCGCTTACTACAAGCCAGGCACTGTATTTTTGCTGAAACCATGAGTGGAATATTATAGTTATTACATTCACTTTGCAAATGAGAAAACCAGTGCTACTTGAACATAAGTAAAGTGGGGGAGAGGTGGCTCATGCCTGTAATCCTAGCTACTCAGCAGGCTGAACTAAGAGGATCATGGTTTGAAGCTATCCTGGGCAGGAAAGTCTGTGAGACTCTTATCTCCAATTAACCAGTAGAAAACCGGAAGTGATGCTGTGGCTCAAAGTGGTAGAATGATAGCTTTGAGCAAAAAAGCTCAGGGATGTTGCCCAGGTCCTCAGTTCACGCCCTACAACAGACAAAAAATAAAAAGAACATAAGTAAATTACCCAAGGTCACAAAGAATTTAAGTAGATAAATGTAGCTGGAACAAAGGCAGTTTAATATTATTGTGCATTCTTATAATAGAAGGGAAATCCAGTAAAAGAAAAAAAATTATAGGTAAGAATTACTAGTCTTAGTTTCATGGCATTTTCCTTTTATTTTTTTATTTGTTTATTTATTTAATCAGTAATGGGGATGGAACTCAAGGACTCAAACTTGCTAGGCAGGTGCTGCACCACTCAAATACACATCTCAGTCCTTTTTACTTTTAGTTTTGGTCTCACACTTTTACCTGGGCTGGCTTCAGACTTTGATCTTCCTGCCTGTTCTTCCCAAGGAGGTGGGGATTACAGGCATGCACACCACCAGGCTTGGTTTGCTTACCTCCACCTCCTGAGTATGGAGAGTTGCTTAAAGAGCAACTTTCCCCTTTGTATTTCAGATTATGTCTGGGTAAGATGAAGAATTAGTGGGAAGGGGCTTGGGGAAAGAGGAGGATGAAACAGATCAGGTGTATGCAAACACTGATGACTGAGTGGGCGCCTAATAGAAAGCTGTCAGAAAGCATAATGGCAGGAGGCTTATAAGGAGAATTCATTTTGCAAAGGTCCATTTCTAGTTCCTTGATGGCTACACAGAGAATCAATACTTCATATGCCCCCTAAAAGTCTTTAGACAGGTCATGTGTCCTCTTTAGCGAAGGAAGGGGGTGGGGGCAGCAGCCCTGGGTAGGACAGCGTACCCCAACAGTCCAGCTGTGGGCTGTCAGGTGACCTACCTCATCTCCCTGACCTCCTGTTCTCACCCAGTCATTTCTCTTTCTGGATTTCTGTTCATGGGAACAAAAATGACATTGTGCCCAGGACTGCAGTACCGTGAATGGAAACACAAAGAATAGAACTGATTACACTACACTGTTTGAGGTTTCCTGTCACATGATCATACTCCGAAACAAACCACATCAGATGTTCCATTCAAAGCTTCTAAGGGAACCTCTGCTTCTGTCTCAAGTGAGTCATATCGCAGATTGTTTTTAATTGGTCCACTTTCTAAGCGTGTATGGTGTTTTTTTTTTTTTTCTTTTTGTCTGTCATGGGGCTTCAACTAGGGGATTAGGTGCTGTCCCTGAGCTCTGCTGTTCAAGGCTAGTGCTCTACTACTTTGAGCCACTCACCACCTTTCCTGCTTGGCTGGCTTTGAACTGTGACCCTCAGATCTCAGTCTCTTGAGTAGCTAGGATAACAAGTATGGCCTACTAGTGCCTAGCTCTCTCTCTCAGTCTTGATGGAGGAAAGATTTAGAATTTTAAACCGCTATCAGGAAAAGAACTTGAGATGGGCAAAGTTTGTTTGAATATGTTCCCCTTTCTATTCCTCTGCCTTCCACCTGTCCTGCCAGTACCCCAGCCATCTTGTCTAGAATCTTCTCCAGAAAGGAAAGTATTTATAGCTTGACCTCGGAAGTCAGCTTTATTGATCTGCAAAGCATGAATAATAGCAAGCTGTCATGGGCACAAAGCAGTCGTACTGCATGGAGAGCATTTAGAATCTTGCCTTGCACTCAAGTGCATTAATAATCACACTTCCTTATCCTTCCCCTTTCTATCTCAGTACCACAGTTGTAGCATTGCATAGCAACAGAGACAGTTTTGTGGACACACTGACAAGTCCGGCACTGCCCCCTCCTTTGCTCTTTTGGCCTCTTGGGTTTGCTGTCACGAAGGAATCTCTTGATTGAGCTGCATCCACCAGCGATATCCTTGCCCTGCTCATCTTAAGTCTACAGCCCATCTTCCAAAGGTGCCCATCCCAGAAAGCCTGCAGGCCCAGTAGGTTGGACCAGATCTCAGTTCTGGCTTCCTCCCTTCAGAGAGGAGTGAAATAAAGTATTAGTCAGAACTTCTGAAGCTAAGATGGATTCCATTTTGTGAGTCAAGATGCCCTGGCACTTGAGTTTTCTTTCTTCTTGAACAAAATGTCTGGTTCTACTGTATGTTCCTGATCATGGTTCTTTCTTCCCTGGCTTTGAGGAGAGACAGGACCAGGACACCATAAAGATGTGTATGGTGCCTTAACTCTTTGTCATTGTCCCTTGTCAATGAGACTTTGCCCCTCAGCACCCAAAGGATGAAGTGCTGATATGCTAATGACTTAGGGTGCATGCAGCACCCCTCTTTGCACTGTTCTTCAAGAGGCAGGAATAATCACTCTTGTGAGTTGTGCAGTCTCTGCACAAGAAATGGCCTTAATCTTGATATACAAATTCACTTGGGCATCACCAAGGCAGGTTAGGGTTGGACAAAGCAGACCCAGGGTTATCTAAGCCTGAGAACAGGGGCCAATGTGACAGAATCAGGGGCCAAAAGTAGAGTCTTCCTCAGGCTAGATCAGGCAGGAGAACCAGCTTCTAGACTTGCAGTGAAGAATGAGGTCTCAGTGCTCACCAGCTCTCTCCAGCTGTCCCTTCATTCAGCTAGGCACTGATGTCATGGGAACAACTCCACCAGGTGCCTGGTGTAGGTGTTAAGGCCTGGATGGGTCAGCACTCTGCATAATTTAATCCTCACACTAGCTCTCACAGAAACCAGCCAGGTTCTCACAGAGCTGGGCCTGCAAGCAGGTGCATAGGAAAGAAGACAATTACATTGGTTTTGGAACCCAGATATCTCTCCTCCACTTAGGAGGTATGTGCCCCCACCCCTCCCCAAGGATTTGCTTTCTTTCTCTGGGCCTCTGGTTCCTTATTTTGAAATAGAGATGTAATATCATCTACTGTGACAGGCGGTGAGATTGATCAGAATACGTTTTGTAAACATACATGGAATTGTCACAACAAAACCTCTCCCTGTCTAACTAATGGAAACTCATTTTTTTTTAAGTGTCTACCCTATGATTTCTGATCTCACTTCTGATTTCTGATCTCAAATTTTTGATCTCTCCATGACTGCTAAAGGGTTCACTCCCACTTCTACCCCAAGTAGAGACTTAAGGAAAGAGGAACTTCATGCTGAGCCCAAAAAGTTATGGAACTGAACGAATGTCCTTCTCTGGCCCCTCATTTCCACCTCTCCAGGAGGCACTTGAGCCCTCCAGAGCTCACAATTTTGCCTGAAACAAAGCAGGTATTATATGAAGAAAATGAGGCTCAGGGAGATGACTTGATTTCCCTCCCCCCTCCCCCCCCTTTAGACTAGAAGCTAGTGACAAAAAAAAAAAGACTACTAGACATTCACATCCCACCCCTCAGCAGATGTCTGTAACTGAGAAACCCTGGGGTATAATCAACTTTCAGCAGACTCCAGTGCATTTGTTGAAATCAACAAAACAAAACAAGAAACTTTGAACCTAGTCCTCAAGAAACTAACAAATTATATCTGGTCTTATCTGGCAAATCCCATTGAAGGATAATTACTGTGTAACTTGACACACAGTTAGGTGAAGAATACTGCCAGGAAAACGCTCACAAAGGCAGGAAAGCTTTCTCAGGGATCTTTCTGGAAAAGAAAGAGACACCAGAGGTATCTATTCCCTCACAGGGCCATTCTGGAAGATTCTCCACCTCTGTTACTTGTCTCTTCCTTAGCAACCATTGAAGAATTTACTTCCAGAAGAATCTGGCTTCTCAGTGAGAAAGGATTTCACTTCCCACCAAGAGGCTCTAACAGAAGGGAGGGGTGTCACCCTCGGTTGACAGCACCCGAGGTAGTTGTCAATGGTATCATGTCACTGTGCAAAGTTGTGCGTAAGAATCTTAGCACTGAGGATGATTCTGATGAGTATTTTCTGAAGCCACAGCCCATTTGGCGATCACATAAAGCCAGGAGGAAGAAAGATCTCAGCTGATAAAGAAATCTTTCTCTCCTGCTCCCAAACCAACCCGATTTCCTTTGAATATAATAATAATCTGGAAAAAGGGATGCGGGGTACTAGGAATAAGGAGGGGTGTCATTACTTTTTCCATTTTTCTCAATCACAAAGCAAAATAAGATGATCCAAGTGGAGGCTAAGGAAGGAAGACAACACTGAGGCCAGATCCTACATAGAAAAATAAATGTCTTTTTATTTTGTACGGAGCGGCTGTGAGTGTCCGGCGTCCAGCGGGCCCCGGGACTGAGCAGGGAGCCCCGCACTCAGAGCAGCAGGGAGCCCAGCAGCAGCTCGCCCTGGCCCAGCCGGCGGCCCCGCTGCAACCCGTGGCCCTTGAGCTCGGCCTGGACGCGCACGGCCAGGCGGCGCAGCTGCTCCTCGCTGAGGCCATCGAAGCAGAAGTCCTGCTCCAAGGCCGCCTGGCGGCTGCGCCCCAAGCCCCCGCTGCTGGGCGCGCGCCAGGCGCCCGGCGGCTGCAGGACCAAGCGGAGGCGACAGGCGACGGCGCAGGGCTCCAGGGCGCCCCCGGCCGGGCCCTGCGCGCGCAGCAGCCGCAGGCGGAGGCGTCCGCTGCCCGGACAGTACTCGGCGGCCAGGCGCAGGGCGCAGCCGGCGCGGCTCAGGGGCACAGTGCCCTCGGCCTCCAGGCGCTCGGGCCGCGCGGGGGCCGAGGTCGGGGGCTCGGAGGAGGCGGGGCCGCCCTGGTTCCCGTCCCCGTCCTTTACCCTGCCGGAGGCGGAGCGGGCGCGGGCCGGGCCTCGGCTCCCGCAGGCGCGCAGCGCGCGGCCCAGGAGCCCGTCGGGGGCGCGCAGGAGGCGGCGCCCGCGGGGCCGCGGGGCGACGGAGTCCGGGCTGGGCTGGGGGCCGGCGGGGACCGGGGATGGCGGGGACGCGAAGGGGGCGTCGCGCTCCCCTCCCGGTCCTGGTGCCGGCCTCACGGCGCCCGCGGAGTAGGTGTGCGCGCGCGGGCGCGGCGCGGAGTGGGGGCCCGGGGCGCGGAGCGGCGCGTCCCCGAGGAAGAGCGACTCCTTGCGGCGCGTGTGCGGGCTCTCGAGCAGCGCGCAGAAGCCGTAGGCGGTGCGCGCGCGGGGCAGGTGCGGCAGCGAGAGCGCGGCCTGCGAGCGCGGGTCCCAGTCGGTGCGGCCCGCGCCCTCGTCCGTCCTGGCCATTTGCTCCCAAGACTTTCGGAGATCAATCAAAGTGAGGCTGGACTCGAGTCTCGGCGGGATGCAGAACTCGGGGATTCGTTCCGGAGTGAGCACGTTTGCGCACGCGCTGGGCGATCGGGTCTGGGCGTGGCGGGTCCGACCCAAGAGAAGCCCGTCCCGGTCGCGGAGGAGCCGCTCGAGACACCACATCGGGAGGCAGGTGCGAGATCAGGGTGGCTCGGCCGGGTGGCAGGCCGCCTGCCAAGCACAGAAGCAAGATGGTCAAGAATGAGCCCCGCAGACGGCATCCATTTCTGTCCCCTTTCTCCTGCCTCCGTGTTCGGTTCTGTCTGTCCCCGGGAGAAGAAAATCTGCACCTCACATCCCCTATAGCAAACTATTTTTTTTTTTAAAGAGTTTTTCATTTGTCTTGTCTCCGTGGCCTGGGCAAGGAGATTGCAGATATGATTGCTTTTATTTAATCTCCATCCCTCCCTTCGCTGGCCTAAAACAGTGATTCTTAATAGATTCTTAAACCGTTGGAGTCTAGCTTCGCTCGCTCCATCTTCTTTGCCAAGAGACACTTTGCCCTTGCCCAGTCATTCGTTCCCTCAAGGGACGATTGCACCTTGCACCCCAGTCCTCGGCGGGAATTAAAAATAATTTCGAATGCCTCTTGAAAAACTCTCTCTCTCCTTTGGAAGCAAAGAGCTTCCAAGGAGCTTCCATTCTCTCCCCCCTTCCCACCCCTCCACCTGTAACTAAACTGATTGCAAGTACCTGGGGTTCTTCCTGCGGCGCGGGAGCGGAGGGGCACGGAGCCCGGGAAACTTACAGCGGGAAAGGCGGGATTCAGCACCGGCGTCCAGGACAGCTGGTCAGAGCCTTTATACCAGCGGCTGTGCCAGTCGCTGCCTGGTAACCTGACGCCAGGCCCACCCCTAGCCTGCTGCCACGTGGCTGGATATGCTGAGCAGATCCTGGAACTGGTTCGTTTCTCCTGCGTTGGTGGGAGGTATATTCTCACGAGAAACCTGGCATAGATTTGTGTCCAAACGTGCTTAAGTGGATTAAGTCTAGAATGAACGTGGCCAAGGGCGCGCAGTGCACCGGAGGTTCAACAGAAGACAGAAGTCTGGTTTGTCCTACTCTTAAGTGAATTCTTTCCCCCAGTCCCTCCCTCCTGCTATCCACCTTCAGAAGCTCTTTATTTACTTTCTGGTTTCCCCTTCTGATTTTGAGTGCACTTTGTTGATTTTAAGTCACTCTGGGTTAGGGAGAAACACTGGGCGCCGGAAATGGGGTCCATATCTTGACTTGGGTGGAGTGGCAAGGGTGTATCCCTATGTTAAAAATCATCTAGTGTACATTTGAGATTAGGGCACTTTCTTGTAGTATGCCTCCGTTTTTTTAAGGTCAATTTTTAAATCCATGTTGGTTGTTTTTAGGACAATGTACTCCTCCATGGATCTGGGCTGTTTGGAATTGTCCTTTTGGGAATACCCCCTAAGTTGTGTCCACTTAGGAGACCATCTTCCTTTCTTTTGAAAACTTGTAGTCATTCTGTTAAGAGTTCCTTCCAGCTAGCCAGGGCTGAAAGGGATTTGAGGTATTTTGAAGCTGTTTTGCAAGTGGATTACTTCCCTAAATAATGTTGAATTTAGCTGAATTCAAAGGTGCTTTCAGAGCTGGGTGCCGGTGGCTTACGCCTGTCATCCTAGCTACTCAGGAGGCTGAGATCTGAAGATCACATTTCAAAGCCACCCCAGGCAGGAAAGTCCGGGAGACTCTTATCTCCAAGAAAACTGAAGTGGTGCTGTGGCTCGAGCGGTAGAGGGCTTGCCTTGAGCTGAAGAGCTGAGGGACAGCACCCAAGCCCAGAGTTCAAGCCCCACAACCGACAAAAAAAAAAAAAAAGGTGCTTTCAGGATAGGGCATGCTTATTTTGTTTCCAAGATACATGGGCACTGGCTACATGATCTACAGTTTCTAGTATTGTCACAGAAACCAGGGTTTCTGGCGTATTTTTGTTATTGTTTTTTGTTGGTCCGGGGGCTTGAACTCTGGGCCCTGGTGCTGTCCCTGTGCTCTTCAGCTCAAGGCTAGGGCTCTACCACTTGCATACCCTGGCATATTTTGATGCTCCCTTTTGTATAAATAAAAAACTGAGTTTTGAAGGGCAAGTAACTTATACATGGTCACAAAGTGATGGAAGGTGGAGGGAATAAAGCCTACTAATGAATAGTAAATCAGTTGCTTAGTGGATTTAAGTAATATAATAATTTAAAATATTATGTACCATGCCTGCAAAAGCTTAATTGCATAACAGTAATGATTATAATTATCAATATAGTGGGAACTTTGTAAGAAAACTGGGCCTGGAATCATATATAATTTTTATTCCAGAATGGAATGCTCATTAAAAGCAAGTTAATTTTTCTGAGCCTCCATGTCAAATGTAAAATTGAGAGTAGGGTTTAGCATAGGATAAAATAATGTAGATGAAGGATTTAGTATAGAACCTGATGCCAGATGTTAGATTTATTATTAGAGAAAAAACAGTGCTCATTAATTCATTCATTCAAAAGCAGTATTTACTGACTCTTCCTGGCTTCCAGTCCCCATGCTAGGAAGGTAGATCTCTTGTTATACCGGACCTTAACAGGTTGTTCACTCACCAAAAAGGATATGTTTTAGAAGATGAGGTACATTGTAAGTTCCAGTTGGCTATGCAGGAGTGAGAAGTGATTTTGAACACTGTTTTATGTTTAGTTTGACAGGCAAAATTGGAGAGGGCTTCTGGGTTTACCATGATCTGACTAGTTTTTTGCTTTTGTCTTGATATTGCCCCTACTTCTGGCTAGTATTCTTGGACTAGGGCTAAATCTACAGGAGAATAATTACCAAATTATACACTTGAAGGCCGTATCTGTGTTTTCTGACAAAATTTTCTCAAGAGGCTAGATGCTGTTCTGTGTGAACAGAGAACCCTGGGTTACAATAATGAGGAAGAACAGAATCAAGGCTCCAGTCTGAGAAGTTGCTAATCAGGTTTATTAACTTGTCTGAGCCCATTGTTCAATGGAGAAGTCATGTCTACTATGTAAGATTGTTGTGGGAGTTAAAAAGATGTGTATGAACATGCCAAGAAGGCGTTATATGTGGGTTCAAAGCTAGTTGTTTATATATATAATATATATAATGTATATGTATATATGTATATATATATACACATGTGTATATATGAATATATACATATATAAGTATATATGTATAAATGTGTGTGTATATATATATATATATATATATATATATATATGAAGGAAGATCAAGAGTTCAAGTCCAGCCTGGGCTATAGTGAGTCTCTCTTTCAAAGTAAGAGGAGGAGGAAAACTAATAGGGGGAGGAGGAGATTCCTAAAGCAAATAAAATAAAACCTCTTCTGTTAAATCAAGGTGGTAAGGAAACAGCCACAAGTACCATTTATACACACAGAATGTCTCTGTATCTTGGATTAAGTCTTCAGAATTGTAATGTATTTCTGTTGTTTTCAAATTACCTACAATGTTTTATCACAGCAGCACAAAGGGACAGAGGCTCATGGAAATGCCTCAGTTATCTCCCTCCTATTGTTGAGATACTTGGGTAACAGGATTCTTGGCTGATGCTTTTATCCTTCATTTCTGAATGTTTCAAACCACTGCCTTCTCACACAAGGTGTCTGGTGAGAAATCTGGTTTTTTTTTTCTAGTCATGGGGCCTGAACTCTGGGCCTGGGCGCTGCCCCTCAGCTCTTCAGCACAAGGCTAGTGCTCTACCACTGGAGCCAAGCACCACTTCCAGCTTTTTCTGCTTATGTGGTGCTGAGGAATCAAATCCAGGGCCTCATGCATGCAAGGCAAGCACTCTACCACTGAGCCACCTTCCCAGCCCCCTGGTGAGAAATCTGATGTGGATGTTATGGGAAAATCATTCTCTCAGCTCACAGATACTAATAACATGTTGCATGGAGTCTTAGGGAACAGAGCATTTTGTTATAGTGGCATGGTGTCTAGGAAGTGCTACCATCTTTTTTTTGATATCAATCAATTCAGGTTTAAAGAAAGAGGAATGTATTGAGTACAGATAAGGTGAGGAGTTTAAAAGCCAAAAAGTTCTTACAGATTTTCACTGAAAATGAAAATACCAGTGAAGTGCTTTATTGGCTTTAATTTTCTAAGTGAGTAACTATCAGTTTCCCACCTAAGCAAAAAGATGGGCTTTTTTTGCTCACAGCTGGTGCTCTACCACTAGGCCAACTTAACTTTTTGCTGGTTAATTGGAGATGAAGTCTCACAGACTTTTCTGCCTAGGCCAGCTTTGTACCAGGTCCTCCTTGTCTTAGCCTCTTGATTCATGTAGGATCCATTAATCTTTGCAGAACGGAACATTCAATGAGACAACTTCCTTACTGCAAAAACACCAGTGGGTTGGGTACATAGTCCAAGATAAATCCATGTTTCCAGGGACCATACCTAGCCAAGGATCTCTTGCAGATCCTTCCACCTTCATTCTCTCCTTAAAGAGAAGAACCACCTCCAGACCCTTGGAACTTCTGCTGTGTAAGGATGACAAGGAGTCAAGGCAGAAGAGTGACAGAAGAGCCACTGTGCCTGCCAGTTCCCTCTGCAGCCTACAGAGAAGAAAGCCACAATCAGCTTTAGACCTCTTCCTGTCTGAACAGCTTTGAGGTGACAGCAACAATGACTCTTGAGGATAGGTCCTTTTTTTTAAAAAAAAGTATTTCATTATCTTTAAGTAGTTGCACAAGTCATTACCATTCAATTTGTCAGGTTGATGAATAGGATGCATCTTAATCAGTATCACCCCTTTCATCATTCTTCCCCATGAGCTTATATCCTTAAAAGAAAACTCCCTTCTACCTGAGCAACGTGACAGTGTAAGCACAGGCTCTACCATGGGTAAGAGTTGGGCTGGAAGGAGTGACTAGGCAGACTGTCATCTATATTCTAATATGCTGCTCTCTGCTGGCCCAAAAGACATACTTGTGACTTAGGAACAAAATGGCTCTCATAAAAGAGGAGGGCAGCAGAGAAAAGACACAAAATGAATGGAGAGCCAAAGGATCCTGGCATCGTGTTGTGGGGGACTACCTAGGGGTGATGCAAATGCCTGCAGGAGGTTCACACTATTGTGTGCTTAAAAGGTTCAGCAAAGGCCTCTATCCAGCAGGAGCTTTGTCACTCAGGATTCCAGTCTAGGGACATTGGTAACCACCTGTCGTTCCAAAGCATTGTGTGTGGGGGAGGATGGGGGAGCGGTTGGGAGGTAGAGAGAGAGAAGTGACCTGAAGGAGAGCTCAGAGTATGTTTTCCTCCCCCCACCCCCCCTCGCCTTGGGAGTCTTGTCTCTTCTCTGCTACTTTATCCCATTTTCCATGTTTCTGGGTGAGCAGAGATGATTCTTTTTTTTTTTTTTTTTTGGTCGGTTGTGGGGCCTGAACTCTGGGCCTGGGCACTGTCCCTCAGCTCTTCAGCTCAAGGCTAGCGCTCTACTACTTGAGTCACAGCGCCACTTCCGGCATTTTCTGCTTATGTGGTGCTGAGGAATTGAACCCAGGGCCTCATGCATGCAAGGCAAGCACTCTACCACTGAGCCACCTTCCCAGCCCCCAGAGATGATTCTTAATATATTTCTGTTTCTCACATAGCTCATGATAAAATTGGCGCTCTTAAGAGATGGAAAAATGTTTATACATAGCATACAAAATACATATGGAATGATTTCTGCCACATTTCTGTGATTTATGAAGTGTAATTTTAAAATGAGCCCTCTGACTTCTTCAGCC